TTTTACTCAGTGTAGGCTATTGTACAGAGCCGTTGTGATCCAAGTTGATTTAGCTGTGGCGTCCAAGTAAATGTAACATAAACTACTGATGCATTTGTCGGCCACGTCGTCAGATTACCAATTTGCATGCCAGTAACACTCTTGGATACGATAATATCTGTAATACCGGTAAAATTTGGATTGCACATATTCATCGCAGATAGATTGAAGGTCTTTGAAATACCCACACTAGCTTCTAAACAGCCTGTGAGAGGAAGAATGACGGGTGCTGTTAAGCATATGGGTTTTGGCATGACATAAATCAGAAATTGAACAGGTACAGAACTCATCGGTGTGGTATCTGTTTCGTTAATAAAATCTTCAACCTATACAAAAAGTAATAAATTTTTTTGGCGAAAAATTCGATGTTTATTATAGGAAACATTGACTTTCTGTTTCAAACGAATCACAAAATAATCTTCTATTAATCCAGCAATAGATCATTAGATTATATACTGAAGCAGTACAATAGGCAAGAAAAATACACAAATAGAACAAGTTTCAGTAGTGATACAAACCTTTTGATCTGTAGTTTCTGACAAAAGTCACTAATATTTAGTTGATTTTTTTTTTTAATAACAAAGATTTGCCTCTTGACGAAGACAACTTCGAACATTTGCTCTTATTATTTCACAGAAGACATGTAGTGAAACTTTGTTCACAGTTGACAGGTAGCCCGACCAACACAGTCCAGTCTGCCTTATTCAGACCAGTCTTGATATCGGTCGTGAAAAATCGAAATTGGTTCTATCTGTGCAACATAGACCACAAAGAAGACAAATATGAAATGTTTCATCAAGAAGTAATTCATAGTGACTAATTTGTTTAAAGTAGACTATCTAAAGTGTTTCCTTACTTTGATACATAGTACTAGGGCACGAGCTCCTATAAAAAGAATTCGAAAACTTCATCTTACATGAAAGTGATTTTTATGTTGGAAACATGCCGAAAATAATATCCACACAGATACCATAAGGTATTTTGCTTTTGTCAGTAAGAATTAATGAATTTCAATTCGAATGATTTATGGATGAAACGAAACTATTAGTCTTGATTGTTCGATAAAAATAAATCAGATCATGACTGTGGTTGAAGAATTAGTGATGCATGAATAACAATCTGCTTACCTGAATAGCAATGGCATACCAGATGCCAGCTTTAGGACCTGTGAAAGTGATAGTGCAGTCGGATAGGGTTGTAGTGCTAGGCACACTGTCTGGATGGCAAATATCACCACATTCGTCAATTGCTTGACGGATTGGATACGATGAAGTCGATTTTAGTGTTCCTTGAGTTTCGGTAGTAGTTACACTGGTTGTCCCAACGGTTGGGGTTACAAGAAAAAATCTAGGCATACGAATGACTGTGATTGTCGCAGCCGTTGTAGTCGTCGTTACTCCTTCGAAACAACCTTCATTGTCAGTACATGTCACACCGGTACACGTTGTAGAAACACAACCAGGACAGCCACATGAGCAACCATTTGAACACGAAGTACTACAGCCGCCATCACAAGTTCTTTTTTTCCTAATATAAATGAGTTCTCTATCATTATCTATCCTTTCGTAAAGGTAACCCTTGGATGGATGTTTGACATGTTCTTCGTTGTCGGATCGTTTTCGTCTTCGATATCCAGATGTATATTTCGACCAACGACAACGTACATCATCACCAGCATTGGCATCCGATACAGGAATATTAATTTGTATTGTTCTATTCACAATCGCATATTGTGGAGAAACAATTGTAGCGACAGGTGGAGTATTAATAAAACCATCTGATCGTTTGCGAAGATCAATGTATGTTACAATTGACCAGTCAAGGCCTGTTTGAGCAGGATCATTTAATGGTAACCAAGCATTTCCTCTATAAGCTAGATAAAAATGTGCACCAGCAGATAGAGTAATATTTTTCGATCGTTCACTTGTCATCATGTTCAATGATGAACTAGCTGATGTACAATTAGTAAGAATATCAATTGGTGCACTTGAATAACCACCATTAGTTGAACAGTCAACCACACAAATCAGATTAGTATTCGCACCAGTGAATCCACTAGTTGAAATTGGTACATTGTTGGCACACTTTATATATGGATATGTCCATGAATAAGATTGTGTAACAGTAATATCAAGTGAAGAGGAATTATCATAAGGATCAACAGGAGCCCATCTGATAGTTCCTCCATTGAAATGTTTTCCATCATTAAAAATGAAAGAATAAAATAATATGAACAGACCTAACCACATTATTTATCACTACCTATATCAATGAATCGTAATCTATAAAAGCAAATGTGTTGAAGAATATCATATAATAAGAAACAGTTGTTAGTTATTAATCAGAAAATCTCATGAATTTATTCTTTGATAGGTGAAGTGCGTATTGAAAACCAATTTGTCTCCAGAAAGTATTTCATGAATGAACAGAAAAAAATGAGATTATCTGTTTGATCAAATTTGAAAGAAGGTGAAGATTTTTAAATCGAGAAAAAAAGACATTGTTCATCTCGACAACAGTTCTGAATACCAATATGTTTTGTTTCTATCAACAATTATTACCTATAAAAACAACCATTGGCGTGGAAAATTAAAAAAAAAACATGGTTTTGGTGAATTTTTATCAAAATCACAAAAAAAATGGCATATTGAATGATGAAACAGACATAGAAATTGATGTCATGATCTGATATTCATTGCGTAAAAGCGACATTTTAATGAAGTAAATTCAATGAGTATGATTTTTAATCAAAGTTATGAAATTAAATTAATGGCAATGAATATTAATAACATCAAGTTTTCTGTCTCTTTCAGTATTTGTAACATAATTTCTTGGTTTTGTTAAATCCGTGGTTAGAATGTTTTTGAAGGTTTATTCTCTTGCTATTGCAATATATGGAATACACGTAGATTCATTAGTTTTCAAGAATAACTTAATTTTTAAGTTTCTTTATCAAATAAAGATTTCAAAATAAAAATTCAATATAAATATCAGTATAAAAACTCAATAGTTTCCCTGATTTATAGATTCTCATAATTGCGTGCATGTTAACGATATAAATTTCAATACCTGTAAACACAATTCGTATTGCAATAGTATCAAGTGTTCGTTAGTACTATTGTTGTTCACTGTAATGATAATAATCTACGACACATATGAAATATGACTTCTATTATTTTTTTTTTGCTTTGCCAAAGTTTGTGACGAAAAATAGAAGAAGGTTTTTTTTTAATGGAGAAGTGAATAGAATTTGCAAGCGTCTGCATTTTATATTGTTCGAAACCGTACCAGTGATGATTACTTTTCGAGTTATTTTCAGGTTGATTAATATTCAATCACACTGAGACACTTTATTAATATTCACTAATAACACGTAGCTGTGCATTATTCAAAAAATTCATTGTTAACAAAAGCAAATCTACTTGCAATATATCAATATGCAAAATTTATGAAAATATATGTTCATAAAAAAAGAAAAAGATTTTTTCTTATAGAATATTATCTAAATTTAGTTATAAGAACGAAGTATTCATTCGAAAAGATTTATTGAATACCATCGAATATCTACCTATCTACTCTTTACGAAAGTTATTGATTAACAAACAGTCAATTCTAAACAAATCTGACATCAAATCTATAATCTACTAAATATGAATAGGAAAGTTAGTAATAAAAATTTAAGAATTTGTAAATTACTTCTAAACAAACATTACTGTTGTTTAATTCGAAAAGTAAACAATAGGAGCTTTACATCCTGAGCATACATACAATGCGTGTTCTGAGAAGATTTCAATGTTACTATGATTTATCAAGTGATCATGTTTGATAAGTTTTTGTACATGGATGTGCTTTATTTTCGACAAAATGACGATAACATTCGTCTTTCAAAAGATACTACTGAAATTCAAATTTTATAGCATGTATTACTGTAAACTTCATGTCTGTCAATATCTTTTCATAATGCTTACTTTTCTATTACGACTAAAATGTTGTCCCAGGTTCTTTTTTCTTTTGTTATTGATGGGATAGATTAATCAATAGACATTCGTTATAGTTGTTTTTTATTCTTCGACGATTTATTTTTTACTATTATGGTTCGTTTTCTTCGTTTGAGTTCTTTTAACATTCTGAATATCAACGAAGAAAGAAAAACACCATATATATATTGATTAAAAATTTCTTTCTGTTCAAAAAATAAATCCAGTTGTTTGATTTAAACAGACGATTGTAAATATCTTTTGCATTC